CACACACACACACAGACACAGACACAGACACAGACACACAGACGACACGCACACACACACACACACACACACACACACACACGATGTAAACCAGAGAGGCTGAATGAAGTGTGACAGTCAACCGCTGTGTGCATTTGACGACAAAGACTCACCGGCATGTGCGCTCTGGCGGGCAGGTCCCCGCTACTGTTGTGGTGGAGCCTGTGGCGGTCGTGGTGGTGGCAGCAGGCGTGGTGGTGGTGGCAGCAGGCGTGGTGGTGGTCGTCGTGGGCGCGGCGGCTGTGGTTGTGGTCGAGGCACCAGCCTGTGTGGTGGTGGTGGCGTCGCTCAGCACGCACGAGCACGTGCGGCAGCCGTTGCTGTCGTCAAAATACACCGCAACGGCACCGGGCTTGCACCTGTTGAGGGTGGGGGGGGGGGGGAAGTGAGGCAGAGAAGAGTTGGATGAGATGGTTGGCCTTGAAAGTGGGAGAAAAAAAAGAGCGGCAGAGGCAGGCAAGGCAAAACACACCCACAAACACAAGGCACAACACACACACAACACACACACACCACACACACACACACACACACACACACACACACACACACACACACACACACACACACACACACACACACACACACACACACGCATGCACGCACCGGCAATCACGGGTTGGCGGGCAGCCGGCAAAGGTGGTGGTGGGCACGCCGGGCGTGGTTGTGCGCGTTGTCGGGGTTGTCGTCGTCGTCCTGACGGTGGTGGTGGTCGTCGTCGTGGTGCGGGTGGTGGTGGTCGTCGGGGCGCGGGTGGTGGTGCGAGTCGTGGTCATGGGCCGTGTGGTTGTGGTTGTGGTCGGACGCGGCGTGGTGGAGGTGGGGATGGTGGTCTGGTCGCGTGTTGCCTCGGCAATGGCTTCGCAGTCCTGCATGCAGTCGTGCTCGGTCTGCTTGCACCCGAGACGGCAGTAAAACGGAAGCAGCACACCGTCGCACGCCAGGCGGCACTGCGCAGCGTCGAAGCGGCACGCAAACGCGCACTCCGCGTACGTCTGCGGCGTGTTGGTGGTCGTCGTAGTGGTTGTGGTGGTGGTGGTAGTGGTGGTGGTTGTGGTGGTGGTGGTTGTGGTGGTGGTTGTGGTCGTCGTGGTTGTGGTGGTGGTTGTGGTCGTGGTGGTTGTGGTCGTGGTTGTGGTCGTCGTAGTGGTGGTGGTCGTGGTGGTCGTCGTTGTCGTGGTGGTTGTGGTCGTGGTGGTGCTTGGGCAAGGCACACGCACAAAGCGCACCGTGTCTGCAGTCACAAGCTCGTACCGGTCTGTGCCAGCCGTGTTCACCTGCACGTACTCATCGTCGTCAAAGCCGGTGAACGTGAACGTGCCGAGCTTCTCGTAACCGGTCATGCCGTCATCGCCTGGGGGAGAGGTCTTCTGGTCCACATACACAATCTGGTAGTCGTTGGCAGACTGCACGGAGACGGCGACGTTGCTCGAGTGCACAGGGTGCACGCCGTACGAGATGTACACATCATAGTCGCCTGCCGAGTGGTGGAAGGGTGTGTGTGTGTGTGTGTGACATGGGTAAGGGAGATTGGTCGCATGTGAGCACGAGGAGCACAAAGCCAAAGCCAGGATAGGGAGAGAGAGACAGAGAGACAGAGAGACAAAGAGCCACAGAGAGGGAGAGAGAGCCAGAGAGAGCCAGCCAGAGAGAGCCAGAGACAGACGTGCGCATACACACACACACACACAACAGCATACACAGCACAACACACACACACACACACACATACACGGACGCACCGCCAGCAAGGAAGCTTGCGCTGAAGCGAGCAAAAGCGCGGGCGCCGTGGCGGAAGTTGTCGTGGATGAACGTGCCGCCCTGGTAGTCGGAGCCGGAAGTGCTGATGGACCACACCCCGCGCACCTCGGCCTCGCCGCGGTCCGTCTCGAGCGTGATCTCGTCGGGGAGGCAGTGGTCGATGGCGGCAAGCGGGTCACGGTTCTCAATCTGGTCCTGCACGCTGGCGCGCAGGGGGCAGTTGTCGGCAAACGTGCTGCAGCCCTCAACCTGGACGCGGTACGGTGCAATTGTTGCAGAAAATGGTGTGTCGAGTGTTGAATGGAGTGTGGAGTGTTGGGTGTTGGTGAGAGGAGCGAAGAAAGGAAACAAAGAGCAAGTGGTGTGGGAGTGTGGCCGTTCTCGACACGTAAAACAGCGCAACAACTCATGCGAGCACACGAGCACACACAAGCACACCACAGCAGGGCCCGTTTGCCACGGCAGAAGCAACACTCGACAATGATTCACACATACGTCGTTTTGGAAGAACTCGTTGCGTGCGCAGAAGTCGATGCTGATGTAAATCTGCTGGTCGTTCACACAGCACTGCAGAGAGCATGGTGACACACAAAGCATACATTCCCCAACAGTGAGTGGTGTGGAGAAGAAGAAAGTGGGGGACGCGACACACAGCAAGAGAGATACCAATATAACAACGCACGCGAGACAAATCCACACGCGCACACCATCTCCAATGTCGCCACACGTGCCGACATTCATCTTCTCCTTTCGCATCATCATCATCGCCATCACGCCCGCTTCAGGAAAACTCAAAGTCAATACAGCACGCACGCGCGCGCGCACACACATACACACACACATACACACACATGCAGGCACGCACTTGTTGGAAGAAAGTTGCTCGCGAATCCTGGTCGCAGTCAAGGATGCTTGTGGCTGAAGTGGCAGCGGCAAACAGTGCCACAAGCGCAAGCACCTTCGTGGCCATCATCTTGGTGGTCAATGTGTGTGATGATATGAATAGAGCGCAAGCGATTCAACTCTTGCGTTTGTCAAAGAAAGATGCTGCGTGGGAGAGGTTGAATGAGGATGAACGCAAATGAGGCTGCTGTGGTCTGTGGTCGTCTGTGGTTTGTGGTCTGTGGTCGTCTGTGGTTATGTGTGCATGCACTCCAGCTCTTGCTCGTGTGCTGCTGCTGCTGCTGCTGCTGCTGCTGCTGATATGGTTGTTGTTGCGGGTTGGCTGTTGGTGTGGTGTGTGAGGAATGGCGATATGTGCGTGTGTGTGTGTGCCCTTGCTTCAGCAGCAGGACCAATACCGCCAGCACAAAGCGACAGCGCCCAGCAGCCAGGGGCATTGCCAGTGATGCACTCCATGCAAAAACGCACGCGTGCGCACATCGTGTGCCACAAACACGCACACACATCACACATCACGCACACGCACGCACGCACGCAGTGGCAAAAGTTGGTGCTGGTTGTCTGGCAGTGAGCCCAGTGCCAGGGAATGGCATTGTTGCCTTGCTTGAGGAGGGAAGGTGGCTCATCACCATGCATCCCCGCCCGCTGCGCAACAACGCCGTTGCAAGTGGCAAGGTCATGCGGGGCCTGTTGTCTGGAAACGGCAGTGCGACGTTGGTGAGGTGGTCACTGTGGGTGGCGTTGTTGTCGTTGTTGTTGTGCTGGTGCCACACTGTCTGTGTTGTGTGTACGTGCGTGTCTGTGTGTGTGTGTGTGAGTGTGAGTGCGTGCACCCAGCAACACAGCAAGCAAGCAAGCGAGCACGCAAGCAGGCACGTGTGTGTGTGGTGGTGAGAGAGAAGTGGGACACATACGTGATGCAAAAGGAAGAACTTACTTGCTGCTTCCCTCCTTTCTTTTGCACACGGTTGTCGTGGTCTCCGTGCATGTGGTGCGGGTGTCATGGCAAGCAACACCCATGCAATGGCCACTGCACAGCAACAGCCCACATCATCATGTGTCCCCCCACAAGTGTGCGCGCGTGTAGACTCACACGTACACTGCTGTGTCGAGTCGAGTGGTTGTTGGTTGCTTGGTTGCTTGGTTGCTTGGTTGCTTGCTTGGTGGGTGGGTGCACTCTGGTTTCACAGGAACGTGTGCCGTTGCCACCGCTGGGCTGTCCTCCCTGCATATCTCCCTCTGTCGTGTCGCGACTTACGAACACAACAGCACAAATTGTTTGGAGGGGCGTCTTTTATGTACATTTTCAATCAAATTTCAGCAATCAACGTCTCCAAACAAACCAAGAAGACAACCCACAACAACAAGCTCAACCAAAGCAACGCAGAGCAAAAGTTGAGCCATCAGCGCCCCTGTGCGAGTGTGTGTTTGTGACAGGGAGGATGAAGAGGAGCGCACCGATGACGCCGATCACGTCACGAGGGATGGCGATGGTGACCGCGGTGGTGAGTTTGGTGGCTGTCGCTGTTATTGCGGGCAGCGTCACCGCTGCTGCCGTGCCTGTGAACGGCAAGCACGCTGGAGCAACCGTGATGCACATGCACCACAGCATCGAGGCGGCTGCGCACGTGGTGGACTTTGCCAAGGTTGGTGGCGTGGCCAACGACAAGTCCCTCTCTGTCGCGCAGGCAAACAGCAAGCTAATGAACACGACGCTGGCCAGCCTGGCGCCCGGGGACACGCTGCTCATTCCAAACACGACCTTCTGGCTCATGGGCGGCATCTACGCCACGGGCATTCGGGACGTGGTGATCCAGATTGACGGCACGCTGGCGTACCTGGACGACATGAAGGCGTGGCCGCGCCACCCCGATGGGCGCGTGTTTGAGTGCATGCACCTGGAGAACGTCGACAACATCACCATCACCAGCTCCGGCATGGGCACCATCGACGGCCACGGCAGCGCGTGGTGGGGCGCGGTGGAGTACCTGCTCATTGGCGAGAACAGGCCCAAGATGCTGTACATCCACAACGCGTCGCAGCTGCTGTTTGAGCACATCCTGTTCAAGAACTCACCCTACTACCACGTGATGGCAGAGGACGTGGAGGACGTTGTGATCCGCTACTGCGACGTGGATGCGCGGCGCACGGACCGCCCCTACCACGATCTCTTCGACCTCACCGCCTTCAACACAGACGGGTTTGACGTGGCGGGCAAGAACGTGCACATCCACGACTGCAACATCTGGAACGACGACGACTGCATTGCCGTGAAGCAGCAGACGGGGGACAGCATCCGCTCCCCGTGCAGCGAGAACATGCTCTTTGAGCGCATCAACGCCAGCGGTGTCGGCCTCACCATCGGGTCCATCGGCGCCTCCCTCGCGCACACGTGCGTGCGCAACATCACCTTCCGTGACAGCGTGATGCACAACACGTTCAAGGGCATCTATATGAAGTCGCGGCCGGAGGATGACCCGGCAACTGGCTCCATCTCCGATGTCCTGTACGAGAACATCACCATCTACAACCCGACCCAATGGGCCATCTGGATTGGCCCGCAGCAGGCCGGCTACAAGCACGCGTGCTCGTTGCTGTGGCCGGAGGACCCCATTGCCAAGTGCCCTGTGCCGAGCAACATGCACTGGCACAACATTGTGCTGCGCGACATTGTTGTGTATGACCCACTGTGGAGCCCTGGCGTGATCCTGGGCAACAGCACCAAACCCATGGAGGCGATTGCGTTTGACAACGTCAAGGTGGTCAACCCTGGCGTGTACCCGTGGGGCGACAAGTACTACAAGTGCAAAGGCGTCGCCAACTCCACTGCCACGCACGGCACCAACCCAATTCCCCCGTGCTTTGACCACCACACAAACTGAGCGAGTTGACGGGGCGTGTGGTTGCGTGACGTGTGTATGCACCATTGTGTGTGTGTATGTGTGTGTGTGCGTGTGTGTCTGTGTGTGTGTGTGCGTGTGTCTGTGTGTCTGTGTGTATCTGTGTGTTTGTGTGGTTGCGCGATGTATGTAAGAACGCATCAATGAGTGTGTGCTACGTTTGCCGTTGCTTATCTGTGTTGACCGTGACGGTTCGCTTGTGCAAGTGCCGTCCTTTGCGTGATCTCCTTTCCTCGGCTTCGTTTTGCCTTTTCGGGTTGTCGCTTCGTTTCGTTGGCTGGCTCCAATGTTCACAGGCTCGCTTTCCTTCTCGGTGTATGTGTTGTGCATTTCCTTGTCAATTCCAATGCTTTCATGTCCACGGCATTGTGTCTTCCCGTTGTGCTGCCCAGATGGCAGTGATCATGGCCACAAGGGTACCTGATCACATAACAATACACACGTTCAGCTGGCTGATGCGTTGTGTGTGCACTGTGTGCGTGTGTGCGTGTGTGCGCGTGCACTGTGCGTGCGTGTGTGTGTGCGCGTGCACTGTGCGTGTGCACGCTGTGTGTGTGTGTGTGGTGTGTGTGTGTGTGTGTTGTGCACTCTGTTGTGTGTGCAGGGCCTGCTCAAATCCTCCTCGAACGTGCGCGCGATAGAGAGAAAGTGGATGCTGTAGTAGACGAATCACAAAAGTGATTTACACCCCTCACACACGTTCGCGTGCGTGTGCGATGCATGGTAGAAGCACACACGCACGGTACAAGTAATAAAAGCAAACAGCACCAACACCAACGACTACGACAGCAGACTCACAACAAGCCAGACAAGCCAGACAACAACAAACAACAAACCACGCCATCAACGCGACAACACAACTGCCACGAACGGTGCCCAGCCAGCGTGTAGCTCACGCTGACGACAGCAACGGGCAAACCGCCCAGGTGGGCACATATCGTCACCCACCGCATGACGCAAAGACACAGTCATACAGGGCGTGGCAAGGGACAGGACAGCAACAGCACGCCATACATTGGTGGTCAAGGTAGTTCAACAAACGTTTCAGTTGGGAGGAGGGGGAAGGTTGGCATGTAGACATGTAGGCATGATTCTGTTGCAGGTTGCCACGAAACATCGCAGACGACGAGACGAGGACGACACTTATTCAGGGGAAAAAAAGGGCGGGAAGGAGAATGGATGGATGGGTGGACGGACGGATAGGAAGGATAGGTATGTGTGGAAGTTGAATGAATGGATAGGAGAGGTGGGGTGCAGGATCTAGGCCGTGGGGACAAGCTTGCAGCAGCTGCCGTCAGACGAGGTGCACGGTGCAAGGCCCTGTGGTGCGTTTGCGTGGTGATACAGCAAATGTGTGAGTGCATGGGATGAGAAAAGGTGGGTGAGATGTGGGTGTGACGAGACGAGAAGACGAATCATGTCGCGGTAACAGCAGAAGGGAAAGGGTGGGAGCAAAGCCCCTTGGCACAAAAACAATTGGGAAGGGGAAAGATGGCAACCGAAAGCGCAAGCGCAGCAGCGAAGGCTGCAGCAAACCAACGCCAAGCATACCACAACCCCACCACAAGCACACAAATCTTGCACAATGCACATGCACACTGCACCTTGCAGTCTCCGTCCTTTGCGCTGCATGCAAGCATGTTGAAGCCCGTGCCGGTGCAGTCCTCCTGCGCAAAGTACGCAAAGTATCCGCCCGTGGTGAGCAGGTCAAGGCGGCGCGCGTCGCTGTCCTCGGGCTGAACAACAACAACAACAACAACAACAACAACAACAACAACAACAACAACAACAACAACAACAACAACACCAACAACAACAACAACAACAACAACAACAACAACAGCAGCAGCAGCGTGGTGGTGGGTGAAGTGCATAAGAGTGAGCTGTGTTGGTTACGCATGAGTCAACACTGACCGCTGGCACACGATGTGCAACCACTGGCACACACAGAACCACAACTGAGCAATCTTGCACACTCTGCTACGCAATCACACACACAATCACACACAAACAAATTCCTACGCCCACAAACACACACGTAACTCACACAGACACAAACAGACACAACCAAATTGGTACGCACCACAGACTCGATGGAGACGCCGACGTTTGCGGGCTCGCACGTGTACGCGCCAACAACGCATGGGCAGCTGAGGAGCTCTGTGCAGCGCTTGAAGCCGTCCCTGTCCGTGCACTCGGAAACCTCCGCGCAGAAGTCGCAGCCAGCCCCGCAGCCCTCGGAGAATGTGTAGCAGCCGTTCTCGTTGCACGAGTCGATGCAGACAGGGGTGACGGTGTTGGCATCGGCGGGGGTGAACTGGTAACCGGAGTTGGACACGCCGAGCGAGACGCAGCCTGTGCTGGTGGTGGTCGCATCCTCGACATCGCCGGCAAAGCGGTCAAACGACGAAATCTGGGTCAGCCGAACCTCAGTGGCAGCGGCGGCTGTGTTGTTGTTGTTGTTTGTGTAGTCGAAAAGGGGGGGGGGGGGCGACGCGCGAGAGGGAAGCGCATTACAAGATGGTGAGACCAATCGAAGGTGAGACGTGCGTGTATGGGTGTGCACGTGGGTGAGCAGGCACAGTTAAGTTGAGTTGAATGCAGGGTGACACGATGCACAACACACAGAAAAGGCGTCCAGTCGACCGAGAACCAGCACAACGACATGTGCCCACAAACATCACGAAAAACATGTTCTCATGGGCGAACGCATGCCACACACACACACACACATGCATGCCACACGTACCAGCGAGCATAGCTGCTGCGAAGGTGAGGAAGATTGCCGTGCGTGCCATTGTGATTGTGTATGTGTTAAGTAGTGGTAGATCGAGGCCAACAAGAAGAAGGAACGCGGTCAAAAGCTGCGTGGGAGAGGTTGAATGAGGATGAACGCAAATGAGGCTGCTGTGGTCTGTGGTCGGCTGTGGTTTGTGGTCTGTGGTCGGCTGTGGTTATGTGTGCATGCACTCCAGCTCTTGCTCGTGTGCTGCTGCTGCTGCTGCTGCTGATATGGTTGTTGTTGCGGGTTGGCTGTTGGTGTGGTGTGTGAGGAATGGCGATATGTGCGTGTGTGTGTGTGCCCTTGCTTCAGCAGCAGGACCAATACCGCCAGCACAAGCGACAGCGCCCAGCAGCCAGGGGCATTGCCAGTGATGCACTCCATGCAAAAACGCACGCGTGCGCACATCGTGTGCCACAAACACGCACACACATCACACATCACACATCACACGCACGCACGCAGTGGCAAAAGTTGGTGCTGGTTGTCTGGCAGTGAGCCCAGTGCCAGGGAATGGCATTGTTGCCTTGCTTGAGGAGGGAAGGTGGCTCATCACCATGCATCCCCGCCCGCTGCGCAACAACGCCGTTGCAAGTGGCAAGGTCATGCGGGGCCTGTTGTCTGGAAACGGCAGTGCGACGTTGGTGAGGTGGTCACTGTGGGTGGCGTTGTTGTCGTTGTTGTTGTGCTGGTGCCACACTGTCTGTGTTGTGTGTACGTGCGTGTCTGTGTGTGTGTGTGTGTGTGTGTGCGTGCACCCAGCAACACAGCAAGCAAGCAAGCGAGCACGCAAGCAGGCACGTGTGTGTGTGTGTGGTGGTGAGAGAGAAGTGGGACACATACGTGATGCAAAAGGAAGAACTTACTTGCTGCTTCCCTCCTTTCTTTTGCACACGGTTGTCGTGGTCTCCGTGCATGTGGTGCGGGTGTCATGGCAAGCAACACCCATGCAATGGCCACTGCACAGCAACAGCCCACATCATCATGTGTCCCCCACAAGTGTGCGCGCGTGTAGACTCACACGTACACTGCTGTGTCGAGTCGAGTGGTTGTTGGTTGCTTGGTTGCTTGGTTGCTTGGTTGCTTGCTTGGTGGGTGGGTGCACTCTGGTTTCACAGGAACGTGTGCCGTTGCCACCGCTGGGCTGTCCTCCCTGCATATCTCCCTCTGTCGTGTCGCCACAAGAAGTAATATTTGTGGTGTCGCCTTCTTGTTCTCTTGCTGATGACTCATGTCATCACATCGGTTCCTGAGTCAGCAAAACAAGAAACGGACACCCCTCCAGCCAGCAACAGCAAGCGAGCACAACAGCCAAGACAGCAAGCGGCATGGCTGGTGCTGCTGGTGATGATGGGCATGGCCCTCGCGCCGTCAAGGCCCAGCCGTTGTCCGAAGATGAAGCCACCTCGCCAGGATCACGTCGCTCTGGTGTGTGTGTGTGTGTGTGTATGTGCCTGTGCATGTGTGTGTGTGTATGTGTGTATGTGTGTGTGTGTGTGTTTGTATGTGTGTTTGTGTGTGTGTGTGTGTTTGGTGTCGTGCTCGACGAAGATGATGGCTGCTGTTGCTGCTCGGCTCATGCCTGCGACTGAACGATGCATGCGCTGGTTTTCACAGAGTACTGCGATAACCGAGTGATCACTTCCAAGTACACGCTCTTGACCTTCCTCCCGATCAACTTGTTTGAGCAGTTTCGCCGCGCAGCCAATTTTTACTTCCTGACCATGATGATCATCGCATACGTGCGTGTGAACACATGGATAGTGTGTGTGTGAGTGGGGACAACGTGTGTGGGGTTTACATCACCGCACCAAGCTGCCACCTCAAGTGCACCACAAGCAACCAACTGCACTTACACGCACACGTCACCGTTACCACCACCAAATCACTGTCTCCACACATGCGCCGTTGTGAATGTAGATTCCTGGAGTCGCTGTGATTGCTCCCATCACGTCTGTGCTGCCACTTGTGTTCGTCATCGGCGTCACGGCCATCAAGCAAGCCTACGAGGACTACAGGGTAAGTAAGCACCACTGCGTGTGGCATCACATCATGTTCAGTGGCAGGGTGCTCATACCACCAATTGTCGCCCCGGTGCTCCCTCCTTCTTCCGCGCTTTGTGTCTGTCAATCGGTATCCGACATCAACACTCACAACGCCACTCTTATCACGAAACACATACCACCACACACGACCACCACCGCTAACCACAACGATTACAATCACCACCACCGCCACCGCCTCCCCCATCCCGCACCGTTAGCGGCATCGAGCAGACGCGGAGATCAACCTTCGCAAGACGCGCATCCTGGACAACCAGGGCCAGCACCACGACATCAACTACCAAGACGTCCGCGTTGGCGACATTGTAAAGGTATTATGCATGCATGCGTGCGTGTGTGTGTGTGTGCGTGTGTTTGCAGATATAGAGGTGTGCTTGAGAAAGTCATGCGAGTGTCTCCACGTATTCCTTGTTCCGTGCATGTCTTGCACTTGTAAGCGTGTGCATATTTGTGCGGAGCATCACGCATCGCCTGATTTGGTGTACTTGTCATGTCAGTGGACGACACAGCCGCCTTGATCGCTGGTGTTGCGTCCGCTCTGCTTGCACCGCCCTCACACCCTCACACTCTCACGCTGCACACCCTCACACCCTCACACCCTTCCCTCGCTGCGCGTCCCCAGGTGCTGGACGGCGAGGAGTTTCCGTGCGATCTCGTGCTGCTGTCGTCGTCCATTGCCTCGCACGACTGCTTCATCACAACAGCAAACCTCGACGGCGAAGCCACGCTCAAGGTGGCGCCCTTGCTGCTTGCTCGCTCGTTGTGCGTTGCTGTTCGCGTGCTGATCAAACGTTCCCCACTGCTTCAAAGCCAAGACACACAACACACAATTCACATGCACACACACTCACTCGCTCACTCACTCACACTCACTCGCTCGCTCACTCACACTCACTCACATATGCACACATATGCACACACACAATGCACACTCACACACACACACACACACACACTCACACACATCGTACGTACGTCCCCCTCCTCTCCATCTTTTGTCCCAGGTTCGGTATTGTCCACAGCTGCTGCACAACGAGAGCTGGAGCGAGCTGATCAGCGGCGCGCTGAGCGTGGAGTGCTCGGCACCAGACCCGCACCTCTACGAATTCGATGGCACCGTCCACCGCACACGCCCTGGGGAGCAGCGCGAAGGTGTGCTGGACTGTGGCAGAGGTGATGGGGGTTTTGCGGGTGGGGAGGTATGAGTGGGTGGTTGGTTGCATGTCGTGAGGTTGTTGGTGTGGTGATGATATGTGTTTGTGGTGTGTTGATAGCGTGGGTCACTTGCACCCGTTCGTTTTGCTTGTTCTGCACACTACGCAGGCTGCGTTGTTTTCACCCACTGTACACGTGCGCTTGTGTGTGCGTGTGTGCGTGTACAGAAACGGAAAGCATTGGCATCAAGCAGCTGCTGTTGAAAGGTGCCCGTTTGCGCAACACAGATTACATCTATGGTCTCGCCGTCTACACGGGAAAGTAAGATCCAGGGTGGTGCTGACTGCTCGGGTGGGAGCAAGCGCATGAGTGAGTGAGTGCGTGAGTGAGTGAGTGAGTGAGTGAGTGAGTGAGTGAGTGAGTGAGTGAGTGAGTGAGTGGGTGAGTGGGTGGGTGGGTGAGTGTGCGCGCGGGAGTACGAGAATGCTGTACATGGTTCCTGGTTGAGCCCACCACCTCACACACACACACACACGCATACACACACACGCAAACACACACACACGCACACGCACACAACACACGCACACAACACACAACACACAACACAACTGCAGGGACAGCAAGACTGCGCTGAACCAGCCCAAGGCGCGGTTCAAGTTCTCGACTGTCGAGCGGCGACTGAACTTCTTCCTCGCATTCTACTTTGTGTTTCTCCTCATCATGTGCACCCTCTCTGTTCTCGTGCACCTCTCCTGGATCGATAAGGAGCGTCGCTTCTGGCCCATCTTCGCACAGGACGAAACGTATGTGCATGTATGTGTGTGTGTGAACGTCGACGAGTGTGCATGCTATAACATGTGCGAGCGTGCGCTCCTTCTCTATAACAGCTGCTCTATTTCATCAACACATGCCTCAGTGCACCTCTACTCACAGCCCTGTGTGTTCCCCGTGTCCCAACCCCCAACCCCCCCCCCACACACACACACACGCACCCTCCCTCCACGCCAATTGTCAGGACGACTGTCGGCGACAACGCCAAGAGCTGGCTGTCGTTCATGCTGCTTTACAACTGGGTGATCCCCATCTCGCTCTACGTGACAATGGAGCTGCAGAAGCTGGCTGGGTCGTTTCTAATCGGGTGGGACGTCGACATGTACGATCCCGTTCAGGACGAGCCGGCACAGGCCAGGACTTCCGGTGAGATGGGAGGGGGGAAAGGACAAGGGCTGTACGCGGTTGTTTGCGTGTGTGTGTGTGAGTGTGTTTATGTTTGTGCGTGGATGTGTGTTTGTTTGTGGATGTGTGTTTGTTTGTGCGTGGATGTGTGTGTGTGCGTGTGTTTGTTTGTTTGTTTATTAATGTGCTTTGGACAAAGAGTAGCGTTGTGCAGAAGCAACGCTTGGCTTTGAGATGACTTCGTCTTGCTGTGGACGAATGCGCCCAGCACCTGCGTACCCATTTCTTAGCACACTTTTGCGCACACATACACATACACACACATACATTGACGCACGTTTCCTCGCGCAACATCACGTTCCTGTGCCAGACTTGATGGAGGACGTTGGGCAGATCAACTACGTGTTTGCAGACAAGACGGGGACGTTGACGGAGAACGAGATGGTGTTCAAGCACTGCAACATTGGTGACACGTGTCTCTCTGTCGAGGGCTATTACGAACGCCTGGCTGTGCAGCCGCTGCCATCACGCCACTCCGCATCCACCCCTTCCTCGGTTGTGCCGTCAACAGCGGCGTCGTTCAGTGGTGGCGCTATCAGCACACATCGCCACCACGACCAGGATCAAGATCAATACGCGAATGGCGGTGCATGGACGGGGCGTGGTCGTGGTGGTGGTGGCAGCAGTGGGCGGCACGGGAGCCAGCTCTACCTTGAATCGCCAACGCAATCACCCCACCGTCACACAGCACCGTCATCATCAACCACAAGAACAGCGGCAGCAACAACAACAGCGCCACCGGCTGCGCTTTCGCGTGTGGATGTGCGTGCGAGCCGCTCGTCAACGGAGCGGGCGATGCGTGGTGGATCAACAACACACGCGCACGTGCACCGCGGATCTGTCAACAATGGTGATGGACGTGAACACGGCATGGTGGACGGGGAGGCGGCAGACCTGGGGGACGGCGAGTTCGCGGACAGGTCGCTGTCCAGGGTTGCGCTGCTGGGCGGTGGCAACGGTGATGATGACGACGATGGTGATGGCGGTGGATTGGAGGAAGTGGCGATGACATCTTCACAGTTGAGTCATGATGACATGCCAGACACAGCAGCAGGGTCAACATCAACGCCAGCAACGGACGTGACCTCTGTCATGGCGCGTGCTGATGTGATTGCGTTCTTCGAGTGCCTGGCCGTGTGCCACACTGTCACGATTGAGTACGAGGGTGTCGTGGCGGCAGACGGCTCCACTGTCCGGCAGCGAAAATTAGCGGCGTCATCGCCAGATGAGGAAGCGCTTGTCCAAGCTGCGGAGATGCACCAGGTGTGTAAATACGTCGTGCCGATGGTGGTTGTGATGGCGGTAGTGACTGTGGTTGTGGTTGTTGTAACTGAAGCTTATTTGCATGTGTGTGTGTGAGTGTGTGTGTGTGTGTGTGTGTGTGTGGGTGTGTGTGTGTGGGTGTGTGTGTGTGGGTGTGTGTGTGGGTGGATGTGTGTGGGTGGATGTGTGTGTTTACACTGATTCCACTGCTGTGCCGCGTTGTTGCTGCTGCTGCTGCTGCTGCTGCTGCGGTTGCAGGTTGGATTTAAGCTCGAGGAGCGAACGGACAAGAAGATGAGCATTTCCCACAACGGCAATCTCCTCACCTACCAGGTCGGTCGTGTGTACGTATACTTGTGTGTGTGCGTGCGTGTTTGTGTGCACTTTGTGTCTTGTGCTGGGATGTGGTTCGACGTACTTTGTACCCGTTCCAATCGGCAGCAAAGCCACTCACCGTCGATGTGCTTCTCGTTTCCCATTGGTGCAGATTATCCACGTGCTCGAGTTTGACTCAAAGCGAAAGCGCATGAGCGTACTTGGTAAAGTCACGCAGCAACGTGGACATTGCGGTGGCGCGTCAATACACGTGTTCTCGCGGTGTCACGGCTACACTCTTCCTTGTTCTTCTCCTTCTGCTGCATTTTGACGCTTGCACATACACACACACACACACACACGCACATCTAGTGCGAGATGACCGGGGCCGCGTTCGCCTGCTGCTGAAGGGCGCAGACAGTGCTGTTCTTCCGCGCACAAACGCCGCACACGCACACGCACTCAATGAAGAGAGACAGCGATACGCAGGTGTGTGGTGGTAGTTGGTGGTGGGTGGGTGGGTGCGTGCGTGTCACACATCACCACGCACCGTCCGTACGATCAAGGTTTCATTCAAACTCATCACGAACATACACGCTTGAAACTCACACACACACGCACGCACACACACACACCAGCGTGCCAGCTGTGTCTGGATCACTATTCGCGAAAAGGACTGCGAACACTCGTCGTTGCGTCGCGGACATTCACGCAAGAGGAAGCCGATGCCATCTTGCCAGCTCTGCAGAAGGTGATGATGATGATGATGATGATGATGATTAAGCTGCTGGTGGTCATGGTCGTGGCGGTCGTGGAACGTGAACAGAGGCGGAAGGGGGGGGGACAGGCTTGGTGCATGTTTAAGATGCGAACGGTGCCTTGTGGCAACAGGCTGTGAAGCTTTGATGTTGCTGGCATGTGAATGCAATGCTAAGCGTGCCTCCCTCTTCGCACACACACACACACAACCACAGGCGAACGAGTCACTGGAGAACCGCAAGAAGAAGTTGAATGCGCTGTACAACAAACTTGAGACGAACCTGACGCTGCTCGGAGTGACGGCGGTGGAAGATCGATTGCAGGACGGCGTTCCAGACACAATCGTGAAGATTCGTGAGGCGCAAATTGCGCTCTGGGTCCTCACTGGCGATAAGGTCCAGACAGCCATCAATATCAGCATTTCAGCAGGTGCGCCGCAGAGGGACAACCCCCAACCTTGTGTGTGTGTGTGTGTGTGTGTGTGTGTGTGTGTGTGTGTGTGTGTGTGTGTGTGTGTGTGTGTGTGTGTGTGTGTGTGTGTGTGTGTGTGTGTGTTACGTTGCACCTGGCGGTGTGATAATCCGTGATTGCGGTCTTGTTGTCATGCACGCGCAACGCAGGCCACTTCACGGCCGACCACCCCCGCCTCAAAGCAATCTCCATCAAGGATCCGCGTGAATGCAAACGCGTTTTGCTCAAGTTCTACCGCCGCGTACGTTCTCACAACACAGAGCAGCGCAGCGCGACATACCACAACAGCACAGATGGCATCACACCACAACACTACCATGTTTGCTTCTGACCGACTGCGATGATGACATGATTTGTCTGTGTCTCTACATGCTGCTGTCCTCTGGTTGGGTGCTGTGACTTACACATGCACCGATGCATGGTCAACTGTGCATGGGGGGGGCCGTTCCCTTGTGCAGGTTGAGGCGATGCTTGCAGGCAACAGCGATGAGGCACCGTCATCACCCTCGTCAGCGTACGGAACGCTTCCGTCTGTGCCAAGCACGCGGTACGCCCCTCACGTGCTTGCTTGAGTCGTGCCGTTGTTGTGGAGGGAAATGGTCTCAACGTGGCCGAGCACGCCTACTTTGATCCCCCCCCCCACTCATTATCCACACACGTATACACATGCACACGTACACGTATACACATGCACACGTACACGTATGCAAAACCGCATGTCAGCACAAATGCACAGCATTCATCTCAACACGCCACGGCCCCTTTGCGGTGCTCACCTTTGTCTCACAAGCTCACCTCTGCACCCACTGCATGTACGCGTGCGTTCCATGCGGTTGTCTGTGCTGTGCTGTGATGTGTTGTGGTGTGACATGGTGTGTTGCGACATGATGTGGTGTGTTGTGATATGGTGTATTGCTGTGTGGTGCGGTGTGGTGACAGGGATCGACCGAGTGCAGACCAGGGATCGACGGCGATGGTGGCGCTGATCCTGGACGACGTGACGCTCGCTGTTGCCCTCAAGCACCATGCCAGCCTCTTCCGCGCACTCAGCATGTGAGGCCTGAGGACTCGCATGAGAGAGAGAGGGGGGCGGAGAGACATGACATGATGAGCGTTTTGTACTTGAAAGAGTGCATGAATGTGGCGTGTGTGCGTCAGTGTTTCTGAGAAATGTGGAGTTGTGCTTTGTGAGTCGAACGTGTGCACGCATGCGCGCACATACACACACCAACACACACTTATTTGAATTCGCTCACTCTCGCACGGGCACTCGCTCGCATTCATGCACTCGTGCATGCCAGGCGGTGCCGTGCTGTCCTGTGCTGTCGATTGTCGCCCGCGCAGAAAGCGGCAGTCGTGCGGCTCGTGAAGACGGGGGCCGTGGTGATGGGCGATGACATGTCGCTGGGCACGAATTTGCATGCAAGCAACAGCGGGAACGGGACCGGCAATGGAAATGGAAACGGTGGAGAGCGCACGGCTGGTGCAGCAGCAGCAGCAGCCAGCGGTAGTGGCGGTGTTGGTGTTGGAGATGATTCTGATTCGTTTTCGCCGCCAGCAGTAGCTGCTGCGCCGATCACGCTGGCGATTGGCGATGGTGCGAACGACGTCGCCATGATCAGGGAGGCGCATATTGGTGTTGGCATCACGGGCAAGGAGGGCAGACAAGCAGCGCGCACCAGGTGCGTTGCTCTGACGTGCTTCTGTGTATGTGTGTGTGTGTGTGTGTGTAACACAAGTGAATGCTGGCAATGTGGCTGTTGGGTGCGAAGTGAGACGTCAAGTCTCTTGCGTCGCATCAAACATGATGTGCTTACAGACACGCACGCACGCACACACACACCACACACACACACACACACACACACGCACGCACACATTTCAACAATGCGCCGTACAGTGATTATTCGCTTGCGCGATTTCGGTTTCTTGCGCGTCTTCTTCTCGTCCACGGCCACTACTCATATTGGCGCATGGCGTACACCGTCCAGTACTTTTTCTACAAAAACCTCGTACGTGTGTGTGTGTGTGTGTGTGTGTGTGTGTGTGTGTGTGTGTGTGTGTGTGTGTGTGTGTGTGTGTGTGTGTGTGTGTGTGTGTGTGTGTGTGTGTGCGTGTGTGTGCGTGCGCTGGTTGATGCCTTTTTTCGAACCAGGGCCAGCCGTTGATACCACGCTCGCGTCATTCTCACACACAACTGAAAACGTTTGCGCGAATGTGAGCCACAGATCTACATCCTCCCCTTCATCTATTTTGGACCGCGCACGCTCTTCTCTGCTCAGGTGCGCAGAGGATGTGTATGTATGTGTGTGTGTGTCTGTGTCTGTGGGTGGGTGTGTCTGTGTGTCTGTGTGTCTGTGTGTGTCTGTGTGTGTGGGTGTGTATGTGTGTGTGTGTGTGTCTGTGTGTGTGTGTGTGGTGGTGTGCGTGTGGGTGTGTGTCTGTGGGTGTGTGTGTGTTCGTCGCGCTTGCAACTCGCTGGTTGCTCCTGCTTCTCCTCCTCATGCCTTGCTGCTGTTTTCTAACCCAACACACACACACACACACACATCAACACGTGCGCGTGTGTTATTGCAGACGCTGTATGAGCAGTGGCTGCTGACGTTCTGGTCTGTGCTGTTCACGTCGCTGCCCATCCTGTGCTTTGGAATCTTCGAGCAAGACATTGACGCGCCGCTGCTGATGTCGCACCCGCGCACATATGCCGTCTTCTCCGGCAACCGCATCCTCACGTGGCGCCGCTTTGCCATCTGGACCCTCACCGCGGTGCGGAAAGGGGGGCGGGGGAGAGGAGTGTGTTTTGGGGGGGGGGGGTGAAGGGGTGTGAAAACACATACATAACACACGCACACACATGCACATGCACATGCACATGCACATGCACATGCACACACACACGCACACATGGATACTGACCTGTGATTCACACGTTGTGCGCTCATTGCTGGTGCATGGCACCCACCGTCTTGTTCTGTCTCCCTCCCGCGATCACGCTTTAGATTTGGCACGGGAGTGTCGCGTACTTTGGCATGACGTTGCTTCTCTCGTCGATGCGCCCTGGCGTGACGCTGTGGTGGCTCGGCACTGCCATTTACACTCTCCTCCTCCTCCTCGTCACGCTTAAGATTGCCACCGACACCCGAAACTGGACGTGGATAACGTATGTGCACGTGTTGTCCCTGTGTGTGTGTGTGCGTATGCGCAGATGTTGTGTGTGCGTGTGTGTGTGTGTGTGCGCAGATGTTGTGTGTGTGTGTGTGTGTGTGTGTGTATGCGCAGATGTTGTGTGTGCGTATGCGCAGATGTTGTGTGTGTGTGCGTATGCGCAGATGTTGTGTGTGTGTGTGTGTGTGCGTATGCGCAGATGTTGTGTGTGCGTGTGTCACGTGTGTTGCATGTGCACTATTTTTCACCTGTACTCTGAGGGCAGTTGATTTGCTCATCCCATTGCTCATCCTTCCACCCATTCTCTGTTGTTGTTTCGGGTGCGCGTCATGTGTTCTTTGGTGACCGTTGCCTGCAGGCACGTGTGCACGTGGGGCTCGCTTGTTGTGTTCGTTGGGTTTGTGCTCTACTCACAGGGCGTCCCGCTTGTCTTTGGCTCCGGCACCACCCCGGGCATCTTTTGGTCTGCGCTCAACCTGTGGGGAACAGACTATTACTGGGGCGCCCTTGTTGTGCTGGTCGTCGTCGCCATGCTCCCAGACTACCTCTTCGGGTGCGGTTTGGTGCATATGTGTGTGTGTGTGTGTGTGCGTGTGCGTGCGTGTGTGTGTGTCTGTGTGTGTGTCTGTGTGCGTGTGCGTGTGTGCGTGCGTGTGTGTGTATCTGTGTCTGTGTCTGTGTCTGTGTGTGTGTGTCTGTGTGTGTTCTGTTGATTGCATGCATGCAAGCAAGCGCGCTTGAATGAACACGAGGTTTGACACCAACGGCGCTGCTGTTTGATGCATGTCTGTCACACAGGTTTGCGCGCCGCATCTTCTTCCCGACATATGTGCAGCAGCTGCAAGCGCGCGAGTGGCAGCGGAAGTACAACGGCAACTACGCCTGTGTGGCATCTTGTCTTCAGCGCAGGTGTGTGTGTGTGTGTGTGCGCGTGCGTGCGTGCGTGTGTCTGTGTGCCTGCGTGTGTCTGTGTGTGTGTGTGTGTTTGTGTGTGTGTTTCTGTTTCATTGCCAACTGCCCTGCAACAAGGCCAGTGTCGCTCATCTGCTTCTCCCACCCCCCCCCCCCCCAAAAAACATTCACACGCACGCCTGGCGCAGCCAAGAGCGGGAGGGATTGCGTGCAAGCTTCACGCCTCCATGACACAGCCAGCTGCGGCTCACACGACGCGTGTGCTCCCATGACACACACACACACACACACACACATACACACACACACACACACACACACACACACACACACATACACACACACACACACACACACACACACACATACACACACACACGTGCGCGCAACAAACGTGCATGTGCACTCTTCCGTCCCCCCCCCCCTCCTTGCTTGCTTGCATCGCATGTCAGTTTGGTTTTTTTGCAATGCAGTGCCGCCACTGTTTCCTCTCTTCGTTTTGAGACTTGTCCACACACAGACAGCAGTTTGCTTTTGAATGAAAGAAAGGCTTGAGATTGACTTGACCGGTAGATTGATTGTGATTGTCGTTCATTGGACAAAGCGGTAGTTGTTGGTGACCAGCACCAAGCAGCACCACCGCCAAACGCAAGCAAGAGGCATGTGACACGGCACACAAGTACACACAAGTACACACAAGTACACACACACACACACACACACACACACAAGGGAACAGCGGCACCAGCTATGGGTCCTCATCAGGCAAAGGTCAGCAGCAAGGTTGGGGGAACAACCATCATCGTAGAAAGTCAAGGTGAAAGCTACGCAGCGCCAGCAAGCGCGTTCCTCGGTCAGCATCCAAAAACAAGCAGGCAGGCAAGTAAGCACGCAGGCAAAGAAGCAGCATTGCTGCTCCATGCGCTTTGTGGTAACACAAGGGGAGGGCAAATGGGAAATCACATGACAAGAAGGGGGTTGTCGTAATAGCCAAGTGCATGCAAGCAAGCACCAAGCAAGAAGGGAGTCAGCAGTCTAAGGCAAAGGAAACGATATCGGACAAAAATGACAAGCCATCAGCGGGCCGTGGACAGGACGGCTGGAGGCATGGACTGGACATGGCGGCGGATGGATCGCGGTGAGCAGTAGCCCGTGCGATGTGCGACTTGGCGTACTTGCTGCTGCTGCTGTTGCTCTTGCTGGTGCGCGCGCTTGTTTGGCTGTGGCTGCAGCTGAGGCTGGTGCTGGTGGTAGCGCATGGTTGGATAAGACAGCGGGCGGCCAGCCTTCTTGCGAGGATGGTACGGATGGGTGGCTGCTGCGTTGTTGTTGCTGTTGCTGTTGCGTGCATGCATGGCGCTCTTGGTGGTGTCGGTGCGGTACACTTTGGGTGCTGGGGCCATTGCCGGTGTTGGCGTGATTCTTGTTGGGGCCGGGTTGAGGCTGCGGCGCCGGCGGCGCGTGATGGGCTGCTGCTGTCGCTGGTGTTGCTGCATCTGCTTCTGCAGCTGCTGCCGCTGGTTGGCGTCTGTGCGGACATCCATGTTGCGGGAGCGCTCAATCTCCGCCTGGTCATAGACGGTGGGGGCGGTGCGGCAGTTGTCCTCAACCTGGGAGGCGAGCGCGCTCATCTTCTTGGCGGTCTTGTCGGCCTCGGCAGTCATGCGCTGGTGGCGCTTGGACCTGGGGCGGATCTCCTCTTCTGTCAGCACGGGCTGCAGGGCGTCGCGCTCGATGTTGGCCGAGGCGGCAAACTTGTTCTGCAGCTTGACCCAGAGCGTCCTCTGCAACAACACCTTCCGCAGCGGGCTCTGCTGGGACTGTGTCAGGGTGCAGTTCTTGTTGAAGGCCACGGAGATGAGTGTGTTGTAGTCCATCATGGTTACAGCTGGTGAAGGAGGTTGACGAAAAGGAGTGTGGGAGAATGAGGGAGATCTGAGGGGGGGGGGGCCGGGTCGCGGCGACGATGATGAAGCAGGAAGGTAAAGCTGATGCACCAGTGAAAGCACAGGAGCCGGCGGCGCGCGGCGGCAAGCACGAGGTGGCTGGCTGGTGGGTGGTGTCGAGGAGAAAAATGACACGCGGGGCTCGTCGGAGCAAAGGCGGAGGAGAAGACGAACAAGATCTCGCAGCGAGCTTACACGAGTAACTTTGGTCAAGTGATGCGTAAGTCGGGAAGAAGGAAAAAGTGAACGACCGCGCCAAAGTCAGCAACAAGTGTCGACCAAGCACAGACAAATCAACACGGCGTGTTGATGTGTGTCGTTCGCTTGCTTGCTTGCTTGCTTGTTCGGGTAGCAGCCGGGTGCAATATTTAGACTCGAGGGAGACGCGTGAGTGACACCAACGAGGAGGAGAGAAGGAGAGCGTGCGCTACACAAACCAAGCACACCCAACAAATCTCAATATGGCGTGTTGCGTGTAGGCCCAAACTACGGACACAATTTCTCGGAACCCGCACAGGAGGGAGCAGTGCAATTTCTGGGAAGTCAGCGTGTAGAGGGGGGGGGGGGGCGAGACAGACACAGCCAGAAAGGGAAGGTGGGGTTGGTTGGTTGGTGGTGGTTTTGGAATGTAGGTGAACGTGCGCACGGGCGACTGGGTAAACACCAAACACGGGCTTAGCTTAGCTCGAGCTGGGGATGTGATGTGAGAGCGTGTGTGTGTGTGTGTGTAACAATAAACGTAAATGGTCGCGGGTGCGGCTGGTGGTGGGATGGATGGATGGATGGAGGGGGAGATGGCAGTGCGCAAAAATAAATGACACATCATCATCATGTCACAAACACACAAGACACATCAACAAAACAACAAAGCGTCGTCATCGTTTGTTCGTTCGTTTGTTTGTTCGTTTGGCTTAGTTGGTTGGTTGGAGGCGTGGAGGCGATTGTGATAGTGCCCGACACACGAAATGGTAGGGTTTTATTTTTCTCGTTTGTGGTTGGATTTGAGTCGTTTGAAAGCTGACCGGCAGCACCACGTCGGCCTTGCACATGCATCTGCGCTGGTTTGGGGTGCAAGGGTGACGCACACGCCCCAAGCGACCGCTGTCAAGTTGCATCTTTCGTGCAAATCGTCGGCAAAATAAAAATTTTCAACCACCATCACCGACGATGAGTTTGTGCCTGATTCCGAGGTGGTGAGCGACGACGATGAAGGCGAGCTGCCACCAACTCACCAAAGCGGGCACGACAAGACATGCCCAAGCCGGTAACCAAGAAGCACGTGACTCCTCAGGAGATCGTGGAGATATGTGCGTGCCTGAGGAACATGAGGGGTCAGGGAACCCTGACAGAGAAGGAAACGCTTCTGGTTTTGCATGTGTACATGCAGTTGAAATTGGCACACTTGGAGAACCGGAGGAAGTCCAAGGGCAAGCGCTCGAATGGCCAGGTCGATGAACGTGCTGCTAAGCAGTTGGGGTATGTTGACACTCTTTTGTTAGTGTGCAAGCTGACGTGTTTGCATGTGTCAACTGTGACATGATTCATTCGCATGGCCGACCTCACTTCACTCTTTTACCTCGGTCTGGAACAACACAGGGTTGGCCTCAGCACTGTGCGTCGGAAGTATGCAATGCTCAACAAGCTGTTGCAAGAGCACGGCATAGATGTGAGTTGAGGAGATGTACCTGCTGTGGTCAACTCATACACCAGCGTGCTGTTTGTCTTAGATCTGTTCATGTTGGCTCATATTCCATGTGCTTCGTGTCTGCAGGGCCTTAAGACACTTTCTGTTGAGAACCGCCGTGGGAAGGCGACACAGCTGCCGACACGTGTGCCCACGACAAAACGTGTGCTCAGGCAGGTTCGCGATCACGTGCGCATGCAGAGAGAAGGTGGACACCGCATCACGGCCGTACAGGTGCTTGACTTCCTACGCAAGCACAGGCATGTGGACGTACGACCTTCGTTTGCTGGCGATGGTGACGACGAACTGGACAGGGCGGCGGCTCTGCGGGCAGTGCAGCGGTTTCTTCGTCGTGCGGGCTACCTTCGCGGCAACAAGCACGTTGTTCAAGAGAACCCGAGGCACAAGCAGCTGCTGGCGAAGTATCTGAAGGAGTTTGATGCAAACAGGAGGTTGCCACCTGACGAGCGCCTCAGAGAGGTGTGTGTGTGTGTGTGTGTGTGTGTGTGTGTGTGTGCCCATGCTGCTGTGTTGTCGATGTTTCTTCGCATGTGCAATGTTCCCTTTTCGTGTCTCACGTGGCTCAATTGCCTGTAGGTGTATCTCGATGAATCATACATTGACAGGAACTACAACAGGAACAGAGACTCCCTGTATGACCCCAACGACGGTCAAGACATGCACAGTCATCGCAAGATCAAGCGGGGTCGGCGCTACTGCTTTGCCCTCGCAGTTCAGGGCCCGGATCCGCGCGTGTGCACCGTCAGTGACCGCAACGACCGCGCCCTCGCCGGTCCTGTTCCAGGCACGAGCTGGATCTTCGACCCTGGCAGCGCACTGCAGCGTGAGCGGCGACAACAACGACAACAACAACAACAACAACAACAACAACAACAACAACAACAACAACAACAACAACAACAACAACAACAACAACAACAACAACAACAACAACAACAACAACAACAGCAGCAGCAGCAGCAGCAGCAGCAGCAGCAGCAGCAGC